CAACAACAACAACAACAACAACAACAACAACAACAATAACTACATTAACACACACACACACACGCACACACACACACACACACACACATACACACACACACACTCACACACACACACACACACACACACACATACACACACACACATAGATCTACATTCATACACATACATAGTCTCTCCCACATCCTCTCTTCCACACACATCTGCACATACGTTCTTCATGCATACACTCACAAACAAACCCCACATTCACACACCGTGGTACCTGAGTATCTCGAGGTGTTATCTCTAGCTCAGTGGGTGACGTGTACTGACTAGCCATTGCTTTTGGCCACTTATTGCCGTATACACTCATATAAAGTGTAAAGTGCTTCCAACCACAACTGCTTGTGTTCGATCTTTAAAATATGACTCAAACCATCGCATAACAGTACCCTATACACCAAAAGTAGTATTAAGTCTCTCGAGTAAAATGTCATGATCATTGGTATCGAATGCAGCCGAAAGGTCCAAAAGAATAAGAAGACACACCTTTTTTCATCAATATCTTTTAAAATATCAGTTCAGACCTTAAGTAACGCTGTCTCGATACTATGGTGTGCCTTTGTATGCTGTCTGACGAACTTCGCTAAGTTTATTTGCTTCAATATGCTGTAAGAGTCTATTAGACACAACTTTTTCCAGAATTAAAAAAAATGAAATATTTGAAACTGATCTTAAAGTTTTAAAGTCCTTTTCATCAAGTCCAGCTTTTTTCAAAAGGGGTCTAACATGTGCTGTCTTAAAATAACTTGGTACTGTGCCTAAGCGGAGAGAATCATTTACAATTTGGGTGATATGTTGAAGAAGTTCATGTAAACATTTTTAACAGCTGGTGGGCATGGGATCTAAGGCGCAAGTTTTTGATGGACTATCTAATATAATATTTGTGATTTTTTCTACCTTTGCTGGATAACGACACCGAATAATTTTACGATTTTGATTGTGCAGATAGAACATTTGGTTTCAGACCTCGTGGTCTTAGTAACTCAAAACGGCAAAACGTGTCAGAAAGAACTTTGGCACCACGCCATGCCTTCCAATATTCCCTTCAGAATGGTCTGGTAACGACCAAAGCATGGTATTTTCCTAATTTTCATTTTGTTTCGCAGGATTTGTCTTGTGTGCAGAATTTTACATGTTTGCTAAAATTCTCAATGTTCAAGCAAGATACACATATCAAACTTAACACTACTAATGTTTACAATTAATGTTCACTTAAATTATGCAAGTGACAATGAGCCAGTTGTGGGTGTAATCACACTATTCCATCATTATGGTTATATGCACAGAATGATGTGTATGGAGGAGACGATGCATAAGAGAGAGTGTGTGTATAAGGGTGTGCACATGCGCGTGCGTATGCGTGTGTGTGCACGTTTGTGTGTGCGTGTGTGTATCTGTGTGTGTGTATGTGTGTGTGTGTCTGTGTGTCTGTGTGTATGTATGTATGTATGTGTGTGTGTGTATATGTGTGTGTGTGTGTCTCTGTGTATGTGTGTGTGTGTGTGTGTGTGTGTGTGTGTGTGTGTGTGTGTGTGTGTGTACGTGGTGAAACACCAAACCAATGTGCCAGGATCTGGGCAAAAAAGAGGTCATATACAGGGTGATCAAAAACAGACAAACAACAAACGAACAACTTGTTTTGTAAAATATTTCTTCCAGTTTGCGTTTCAGATTTGAACAGAATATTTGGAAGCAAAAAGGAATTTGTCTGATATTCATTTTAGATGGTTTTGCTCTATATGGCGCATTAAATTAAAAAAACCACCCATTTTCAACCATTTCCCCATTGTTGTAGCATGACACACCAGTTCGCATTAAGTATACCACTAAAAGTTGCAATAATCGCGCCATATTGTCAGCGATAGCAGTCTAACAAGTCAGCAGAAGTCTGCAGATATTATTTTTCCCAAATTCCGTTTGCCTGCTGAGATCTTGTTTCAGTTTAGTAAGAAACAGAGAGCTTTTTGTATTGAACATTACCTCTCCACAAACTCACCATCCCTAACATTTCGTAAGTTTTGGCCATGGTATGGAAAGAATGCTTAGATGCCCTCAAGACCTTTGGTGTCCTGAGTAGAGAAGTTCCATCAGATTGGACCTATAGCGAATCAGAACTGAAAATGTCCTTTAAAATGACCATTTCAGGTCGACCACGCACCGTGTGGAGCTCTTTAAACGTCACCAGGGTGCAGATTTCAGTAGTCGAGTCCCATTAGACGTCTGTTCGTGAACGATCTGCAGCTAGGACTTTTCTACACCTCAACAGTCTGCATTCGTATTGCAGATCTTAACCTACCATTGTACCATGTTCATCTTCACTAGGCCGAGATGACATGGATCATACCATGGAAATGTGTTCATGATTCCTCGATTGTCTTGAAAAGCGGGATCATTACTTCGATGACATTTGATTCAGTGCATTTAGCTTTTTAAACTCTGTGAAAGAAATTAAATATTGTTTATATGCTACAGGGGAGGAAAATTAAATGTCAAAGATGAAATAAATAAAAAATGTCAACCAATCATTTCACGACTTCCTTTACAAGATTTCTACAAATTGGTGAACGTTGCGGTTTTTTTAGTGCTTTTTTCTTTAAGCTATTTTTCATTTTCAAAATAAGTTTCTTCTTTGTGGATTTCATGCCAAACAACTTCGATTTGAAAGAATTATGTCTGTTCAAATTACAGCATTCTAGCAGAACAAGTTTTGTGCGAGATATTCGGAGAAAAAAATGTACAGCTTTTTTTTAGCACCCTGTATCTTATCGTATCTTATCTTATCTTATAATAATCAACGAGAGTGGCAGTACAGATTCTGATATGCTTCTTTTCGTGTTTTACAGGTAACAACAGGACGGGACCAGACTTCAGGGGGAAACAAGGCTTTTAACACACAATCCATATCAGTACCTATTCGGAGTACGTACATGTGTGTCTGTGTGTGTGTGTGTGTGTGTGTGTATGTATGTGAGTGTATGTGTGTGTTTGTATGTGTGTGTGAGTGTGCATATGTATGTATGTATGTATGTATGTATGTATGTATGTTAATATGTATGTATGTATGTATGTATGTATGTATATATGTATGTATATATGTATGTATGTATGTATGTATGTATGTATGTATGTATGTATGTATGTATGTATATATGAATGTATGTAAGTATGTATGTATATGTATGTCTGTGTATGTGTGTATGTGTGCATGTGTTATGTCTGTATGTGTGTATGTGCAATTGTGTATGTATGTGTTAGCGTGTGTATTAGTGCATGGGTGCTTTTGTACGTACTTGAGTATGTATGTATGAACGCACGTGTGTGCACGTGTGTGTATGCATATGTGTACTTTTGTGTGTACATATGTAAGTATCTATATATGTATGCACGTATGTATACATGTATGTATTTGCTTATGTATGTATGTGAGTACATGCGGATGGCTGTCCATATGAAATCATGTACGTATGTGCGTGTGTGCGTGTGTGCGTGTGTGCCTGTGTACATATGCACTTGTGTGCTTGTATAAGTTTGCGTACCTATGTGTGTGTATGTACATGTGTACGTATGTGTGTTTATTAAATATCGATGTGTGCATGTATGTGCCGGGCGTCTAAAAAGAAAACCTGATCAAAGGTCAATAACTCCGTTATCTTTTGACCCATTTCCACAAAACATGGAATAAATAATATTCAACCAGGGAGATGTTACATTTGTCAGAATGAAGAAAAATATCAGCTTACTTGCTCGTAAAATATTTCGTTTGTACAATTTCAGTCAAAATAGGGTGAGAAGCAACTACTTAAAACATTAAACCCGTATTGTGTATTGGAGCGTTGAAAAGCAATTCTATAAAATCGATGTTGTCAAATACATCCGGAGAAGGTGGCTGCTCTTAAGGGCTGGTGGGGCACCTAGGAATCGTGTTTTGAGGTCAAGTTATGCAAATTGGGCTTATTACATATTATAGTACCAGGACATTTCCTGAACAGTATCCAGAAACGTATGTAAACCTTGCTACACCCTAAAGCTGTGTTTATTTTGTTTATTTTCAGGTTTTCCTGCGAAAGCACATGTTTTCCAGCCTTTTGTTACCTTATCGGCTGTTTTCTCACAATTCTATTTTTTCATACATTATCACAGTGTTCTGCTCTGTTTCTTGTTCAATTTCAATGTAACTTTCATAGAATACCAACAACAACTAGTTCTAAATTTTGGCTTGTTGGAAATTGTGATTAATGGAGTGGTTTTTGATTTATGAAAGCATGAATTTCCCCATTTTTAAAAACTTTTTTTGCAACAACCCAATTGTAAGTGTCATAAAATAAAACTAAAGCATATACCAAAAATTCAAAAGCCAAATTTAAGAGCTACATATTTACTGTTGGCATGCCAAATTAGAAGTGAATCAGTTTATAGTAAAATGGGATTGAAAAAAGTATACAAAATCCAATATGGCAGCCGTTTCCATAGCCACCGATTCACAATATACTTTTTGAACGATTGATTTCAAATCCCCAATAACACACGATGTCCCACAGCAAATATGGGCACTCTAGGCCTTGTAATAGCCAAAATAGACCTTAGGTGTCCCACCAGCCCTTTAAGTTGAATGCTCCAGGTATTTACCGTTTCTCTCCTGACCAGCTCGAATACGCCACTGATAATTTTGAATAACCCTATGGCATTTTTATGGGTCCATTCTTTAGTCGTCGTGCTCAACACTGAGTTTCAACTGTTCGATTGTTTGTTGATTGTTTTCGTGGTTTTTTGACAACATCTGTAAGTCTCATAAGGATATAATTGAGGGGGTTCAAGTCGAGGACATACGGTGACCATTCATTATGGTGCGTTCAACAATTCGTGGCGCAACTTATCCTCAAATATCTCTTTAACAGGTGAATCAGTTTGACTCTTACTTTGCACATCAGTTTGAATCAATTTATCTTAATTTAGTCACATTTTTCTACAACAACTGAGGCTCAATTTAAAAACTTTTCTTCATAAATTTATATAAAATACTATAAATCTCCATCACGCTGAAAATGGAATTGTTTACAGTACTTTCCGCTTCTCCAACACATTTCGCATTCGCATATATGGCCCACGTCACAGCTCTCCAATGATATTTTTTAGTGGCCAAACTTCTTACAAGAATGTTATTTTATAGTGAACACATTTTTGGCACTAAAGGTTCCCTAAATATACGTTCAATAAGCATACTGTTGTGATTAGAAAATAGTACACTTGCTTTTAAAAGCGATATTGCCAGAGCTGTTAAATTTTTTTTTAATCTGTAGAAACCGTCGACTGGGATTTAAAAAAATATTTATTAAGGAATTTTCTAGAATACAGTGTGCAGGAGTTTGAAAAAACATTCACCTCTTAAGACAAATTGATATAAGTCATTGTGCTGCCAGGTGTTCTGCTGACTTTAACCCTGTCGGTTTTGCTTTTTTATGACTTCCTGTTGAGCTCTTCACACTGTGTATTCAGACGTTCTTCCTCTACAGCATATATTACATTCTCCTCCCCAAACCTAATAAAGACTTTCTAAGCACGATGAAATACTCATTTGACGTTTCTGTCTTGAAAAATGCCTTTCTCTTCCTGAAACCAGAAAGGACTGATCAGGCTCCTGTAACTGAACACTTTTAGGAAATTTATGTTTACCCAATTTTGGTAGAAGCCTTTAAAACTTTATATTTCTCGAACACGATGATTAATTGTTTTCATACTAAATGCATTTTACGTCCCATTGGTTGAATTCTATTTGTTTGAAGCTTTGCTCGAGTTATTGTCCTTTTTAGAGACCCTGTAAGTATGTATTGGATGCATTAACAGTAGATGGTGATTATTGCGTTGATGTGCTTCTCCTTATTCAAACTAATAAGGTAATTTTATACAAACAGGTGCTTTATACTGAAGAAAACTCTAACTTTTGTTGGCTCCACACGTCCTATATTGATTCTTCGCACTTTATTCACTTCTCAGAGCCTAGACCATGGAATGTGGCTAAAGACGGCCCCCTCGTCAAAGAATCGAACTCGAAACCAACGAAAAATTCCCTCACCTTTCTCGCTAGCAGTGATTTTTTCAAGAAAAGCAGCAGCGGACCAATCGCCTCCACAGGATTTGTTGTGTCTCGAATCCGAGTGAAAGCAGGTTGGTCATTACTCGTTTTACTGGCCACTGTACAAACATCTTGCTGTCACTGTTCATTTTTCCGGCCACTATACAATATTAAAAAGGTATGTCTTTACTAATTTTACTGGCCATTGAGAGAGAGAGAGAG